TATATATATATATATATATATATTATAAAAAGGGGGAAATTTATTCCAACAAAATTCATTTAAAGATTCTAAAGTAAGGGACATTTAAAAGGTCCCCACCCAAAGGAAAAGCAAGAGAAGACGAGGGGGATTTAGAAACAAGAGTGGATTTAGAGACATACGCCACTTTGGCCAACCAGTTAGCAGGACTGTTGCCCTCTCTATAGATAAATGTAAAATGAATGGGAGAAGGAGTCTTCAATGCCTTGATCTTCTTAAGCCATTGGGCAATATGCCAAGACTGAGACTCTTCAGCGGTGAGAACCCTCAAAAGTAAAGAAGAATCCATCTCCACCTATAGATTTGTCCATTTGTTGAGAATTGCTAACTTAATAGCCCAAAATCCTGCAGCCACCTCAGCTTCCAAAGGGTTCTTGACTGAGTTAGAAGAGTAGAAAAACAGAAGGCATCTCCCTGTATGATCCCTGAAAACTCTCACTATAGTAGTACCTGATATGAAAAACTCCCATCAGTGTTAGCCTTGATAAAAGTTTGGGAGGGTCTTACCCAAAGCACCTTTGTGACCTCAAGTTTGAGGGTACTACCTTGTCATGATGAATTACATATATTAGAGAAATTCTTTAGAGAAATCAGCTTGAGGAGGAAAGTCTTACAATTAGTTGTCACCTTAGAAGTTGGGATGAGGCAATTCTCAAACTTGGCTTGATTTCTGGCTATCCAGAGGAACCATGCCAGGATAAAAGGGACAGAGCCCAAATTTATCTCAGCCTAGGTTACCCAACAAAGAGATAACTAATTCCAAACCATAAGAATGGTATCAATCGATAAACATTTAAGAAAGTCCTTCCACACATTTTGAGAATAAGGGCATGATACAATAAAATAATATATTGTTTTAAGCATATATTTTATGCTTATTTTTTGTGATATTACACTTTAAATAAGGGTATTTTCATGTTTTTGTTGAAGGTATATCATTTTTAGGCATTTGGAGCAAAAATGTTAAAAAGAACGAAATTTGGAACCAAAACAATGAATTTTAGGATGTTAGCGCATGATGCGCCAAAGACGACTTTTTGTAAATTAAGGCGGTTCGAGATGAATTTTCAAAAAAACACTTGTTCTACACACCTATTATATTAATTCAATGCATCTAGACACTTTGGAATGTTCTTTTATGAAAGGATATGTCTCTTGGATCAAATGACATGTATTTTGAATTCAAAAGAGTTGACTTTTGAAGGGAACTTTTTGAGGGAATTTGGGATTCTTTTCAAATGAGGCAACCCAAAAATAAAAGAGAAGACTTCAAGGAGGGAACTTTGGAGGGACGAGAAAGGGAGAGAAAGTGAAAGTTGGCATGAGAGGCAAGAGGAGAGACAAGCAGATTTTCTTCTAGGGTTGTAAGAGGAGAGGAAAGGTGAGAGATTTCTTCTTCATTACACTTCTAAGAGAGAATTGAGTGGGGTTGTAAAGAGAGAAAGGCTTAGAGAGAGCTTCTAGGGATTTGCTTGGGAAGGATTGTGCGATAAGTTGTGTCTTTTATTTCTTTTATTTTGTAAACTTATTTTTTTATATATGAAATCCGTGTTTTGTTGTATCATTCTCATGAATTCTAAGTAGTCTTCTTTATCCTTATCCCTACTTTGAGATATGGTTTTGTGAAGAATTGATTTTGTTTTCAATAGTTTTAAATGATAATAATTTGTGATGATTTGAAATTCAATCTTCATTTACTTTTTGATATGACCAATTGAAATGTTAAAACTTGTTGAGAAACATATGTTCTGAAAAGGGATATGATTTCTACAACATAAGAAGAGTCACATTTGATTTCATGGGAGAGTATGTCATCCATGGGATTATACTTTGTTGGATGCAGAATTGAAAATTTTAAGGTGACAGATTAAAATCCCCAATTTGGTCTAGTTGATTGGAAACTGATACGAGATTGTTAGCTCTCAGGTGAGGGAGTAGTGGGAGCTCTGGAGTGGTAGTCGGTACCCTCCCAACCTAACCACGGAATTAGGGACCAAACTCTGGATTAGTCAATATTTTTTATAACACTCGAAAGAATACTCGGAAGAGGGTAAAGAATATGATTGCTCTTATTTAGCACAAAACATATATATATTTTCAAATGATTTCAATTTCTTCACAATCCATATACTCATTGTAAAGGGGAATGATGCTTTCTTAAATTTGAAATTTCCGTCAAAACAAAAACTTTGTTTAGTTTTGGTAATTTTACTTTAGAAAATTAGTTCTTAGTTAGTTAACTTTGTTTTTCAACTGCGATTTATATAACATTTACCTTAGTAGTTAACATTCAAACTTTGCAATTTACTTTTATTTTGTATTTTTAATTATAAAATAATTTCAAAAACTTATTTAAAGGATTTTCCACTTCCCTGTGGGATCAATATCTAGGACTCCATTAGAGCCCCTTATTACTTGAGCGATACGTATACTTTCGTTGATTTTAACAAGGATTTGGTAGTTTAAAAAAAGTTTTAAAAGATAAAATATTTTCATAAAAGGTATTTTTGTTGGGATTATATTACATATTTATTATATATCTGTCATGTGTAATTTAGTAATATTGAAAAATATTTACAAAATTTATACATTAAATCTACACCCGTATCAAGTTTTTGGCGCTGTTGTCAGGGAAGTAACGGAAAATATTAGTAAGTTATTTTATTTTATTATACAAAAAAAAGAATGTTTGTAGTTTAGTTTGAACATTTTCTTATTTAAGTGTGTTTGCTTGTGTTTTTTTTAATTACTTGCTTTATTTTGTTTATGCGCAGTGTAAGATCTGAAAATTTAGTACTTTACGATTCTGAACTAGAGAGAACTGTTAGAAAATTTTGAAAACAACAACAAGAGAAAGATTATTTTAGTAAAATGACTTACAATTTA